GATAATTACAAATGTATTGATGTAGACCCTTGATGGTGCTTGTTGTTCTGTATATTTACATTCCTTTTGTAAAATATTGTTGAATTGAAGTAAACACTTTTGCTGTTAAAATGTGCTCTAAAATGCTATTAACTTTTCTTACATATGTCAAGTAAAAAGAGCTTAATCAATTAGAACAAGAGACAGTCATACACATTATTATGATAATGGAATAAAAACTAGTAAAACATATCTATGTGGTCAGATTCTGCAAACCAAATGTGAACTATGAGCTTTCTATCCTGCTGCAGCGATTGCAGCTTTTGTTGTTTTTTTATTTATTTAATTTTTTTCCCAGTACCAGCTGATTACTCCTCCAAATAGGCTTGGCAGAATTTCTGTTGATTCCACAGATCTGACTGCAGGGTTTGCAGGGTTTCCTCACATGAACTTCTCGCTTCATGTCCCACAACATTCCTAAAGGATAAGGGTTTTTGTTTTAGAAATGTTCGCAATAACCCAGAGTTCACTGTTCAGTGATTGCTATACCGAGGGAAACCACCAAGCCAGACCACATGATCATTAGATGGGGCTGTGTGGAAGTTCAACTTTTCTTTGAAGCAATGCCTTACACAGCATTTGTGTTAAGTTTGTTTTAAGAGTATTAAACTTCCAGAAGTCTGTTAAGTAGTGATCTCTTCCTGTAACTCCTATCTGCACTCCTTATAATGCTCCAGTGCCTCTTTATGGACCCTGACATATACAAGTATTAAAGTCCAAGGAAGCCTTTTTCATGTTCTATATATTTAATTAAAGTATCATGTGTTAGACCAATACAAAAGAGCATTCCTGTACATCTACACTTTTGAGTATAGATGTAACTGATATTTGTGGCAGAAATCTGAAACATATATCAACCCAAACACTATCCTCCCTGTAAAACATAGTTGTGGAGAAATCATATTGTTATGATCCTGCAATGACCTCAGTAATGGGGATATAGATAGAGTGGGACCATAATTAATAACAAGGTGCACAACATCCATGATAATTCACTAAAGATGCTCCAACCAGCAGGCAAACAATTCTACACATGCAACCGGAACTACGATGAAAAGGCTTGCATCAAATCTGATTCCAACGTAAACTCTGCATCAAAATAAAAAAATATATATATAAATTATTCATGTTCTTGCTCCAAAATTACTGAGCTTAAACTAGCAAAGTGGGATATGCAATGAGCTATGCAGTTTTTACTAGCTATTTAGGGGAGCATGAGAATATGGTCATAGGAGACTTGTATATGCCACATGTAACATGGCGTATACCACACTCAACATGGACCCCATGAAGCAAAGGAACGAGTTGTCTCTGGAGATATAATAGAAAATTATGAACATCATCTTAAACGCAATCGCTATAAGACCATCTCCAAGAAGCTTGGTGTTCTTGTTATATCAGCTGTACATATTGTTGAGAAATTAAAAATCCATGGAACTGTAGCCAGCCTTGTTGGATATGGGCTGAGGAAGTAAATGTATGACAAATCAAGGAAATAAATAATATAAATGGATGCAAAAAAGCCAAGAAAAACTTATAAAGAGATTAAATGCGCAATTCAAGCCCAAGTATCATCAGTGTCAGATCACAATAGCCGTCATTGTTTGATTCAAAATGGACCTATTCGGAGACGACCAGAAAGCTCTCAGTGGCAAGGCATGGTTCTTGGAGCAGGATAACGACCCAAAACAGCCAAGAATGGCTATGAGGAAAACAATGGACTATTCTGAAGTGTCCTTCTATCAGCCCTGACCTAAATCCTATTGAGGAGTTGCTCAAAACACCTGCTGAGAGGAGCAGAAGTCTCATTGACAGTTACAAGAATTGTTAGATTGCAGTGGGTGCCTCAAAACATTGTGCTACAAAAAACAAGTTAATCATAATTTCTGTCCTGTTTAATTGTTTTTTTTTTTTAGTCTTTTAAAGCATGATTAAAAAGCAATATTCAACTGTTCATCTTCAAAGAATTTCTGTTCATTATTACTGTTGTCAGATTCATGTCATTGATACAAGAATTGTGTGTTTCTCTTTTATCAAATGAGAGGTACCAAGAATTCTGTCCATGTGTATATACCATATTGTTCTAGCCACTTTAATAGGAAAGACAGTAAAATATATAGAAGTCTTTGGTTTCCATGTGAGAAAATGTTTAAAAGTTTAAGGGGTCTGAAAATTCCTGTAGGGCTTTATAGAGTGAGTTATACATAGCTCAATAGAAGTTAGTAGCAAGGATGAGTGAAGATGTTGTAGGGAATGATCAGAGACTTCAAAGCAAATAATCAATGTGAAACAATAAAAGTAAAGTTATGCTATTAAAAACAGGGATCGCTTTGAGCTCCACTGACTGTTTGTCTGAACTAATCTTTCTAGCTGGTACACTGGTTAGTTTTAAAGGGGTCACAGAATGATTATAAAAGGTATTTGGTGCTGGTTCATAAGGTCTCTGAATAGGGTGTGTAACATTGGTTGGACTGAAAATGGCATATTTGCTGTTCTATGAGCCCTAATGCAAGCCTGGTTAAAAGACCTAGAATGAAACAACAGGTTTTCTTCCTTTTTAGGGTATGCTCATGAATGTTTAGATTGCTGTGCGCTGATTGGTTGGTTTACAACAAGCAAAGCTGCTGAGCAAAGACGCATCATAGCAACAAGCACTCACTCCCTGAAACATCAAATTGTTGATATGGTAGGGAGACCAGACGTCCCCTTTTTCCCAAACATGTCCTACTTTTCATACCTAAAAAAATGTCTGGGGGGGAATTTTAAAATCGTCCGGGATTTTGGTAGAATACAGTGCAACCAGGCCAGAACCAAATAAGGCACCATCCCCGAATTGACTTCAATTCGGTGCTTTGTTTGAATTTGCCTGTTTTATGGTGGAAGTTTAGAATTGTACAATTTTCAGAGAAAGGAGGTGTCAATGGGGATTTAACTTCTCTGTATGTCCATTTCACGCACTAAACTATTGTTATTCATCTATGACAATGTAAAATCAGTTTTGCAATAATTTTCCACATTTTGCTTTTGTGACTAATTTTTTCATTAGATTTCTGTGTCGTTTGTAAACTACTCTAAAATTCTATTTGTGAATGATCTTCTCTCTGTCTGCAGTTTGATTTTACCGTGGATTTGACTTGCAGCAGGTGACCGTCAGCACCACGGACAGCTCTGTGCTTCAGTTAGCTTGCTGTGGTAAAATAAGAAGATGATGTAACGCATGGGGGCTCATTAAACTGTTGCTTTTGTCCCTGCAGTCAATTCTTACATGATCACACTGTCACACTTACAGACAAAACACATATATATAAAATTCTCCCTGATGTAAAAATTTGGCTTTAATGTCTCAGATACAAAGAACACATTTCTTACAAAAGGAACTCAAAGGCTATGTCACATGGGAGATTTGATTCAACCTCTAAAAATACTAATCAAATGGCTAAAATGGGGATCTATCATTGAGACGGGTATACACAAATCCAAGATGAGACAAGCAGAAGAAAGTCCTGTCCTCCCAGTCTGCTGTCAGGATTTTCTGTGAAAAGCCATTGTCACAGGATAAAAATCATGCCAAGCCTTTGATCATGAGAGGAGAATTTTGCAGGTGAGAGAGGTAAAATGGAAGAAGGTATCTGAATATCTGTCACTCTGGTGCTGCTGAATGTTGCTACTCACCTGTTAAGTGAGACAAAGATAGACTTTTTTCCCCCTAATATTCCCTTTCTCCACAACAACACCTCAGACAACTCCCTTTGCAAGAATGCATCTCAATCAGGCATGCAATTACAATCTAGAGCATGCTGTGAAACGTACCAGCATCAGGCAATTTGAACGTGAGGCTCAGTTAAAAAGCAAATCATTTGCTCTCTTTTCATTCTTCCGTCATCCTGTTTTAAAGCCTAAAATCAAACTTTTTTTGACAGCCCCAAAACCAACCCCCACCCAAAAACAATATCAGCTGCTAGTAATTTCACTCCCCCCCCCAAGTATGTGAGATGTTTCCTGACTTTGGTAATGCTACTTCAAAATCCCTGGGCCTAGAGAGTGAATGTGAGTAGGATTAGAGGGGTAATGCCAGTTGATGAGAAGGAGAGGGTCGCACTGGTTCGCCACTCTGCAAGGATTAGCTCTGAAAACAACTTCACAGTCGAAAACTATGTCAGTCAAGGACATATAATTCAGTTAATCTAAAAGGGTCCTTTCATGAATCACCACTCTAAATCAAATAGGCTTCAGTTTTTTTAATAATTGTTTTTTGTGCATTACCAAACAAATAATAAACGTGCCATGAATGATCAATGCAGTCCTGGTATTTAGGTGGGAAACATGGAATTCCTGTGGAATTGGAATCTATGCTAAATATTTCCCACATAAAACTTAACCAAGATTATGTGAAATCATAATAATACTTCTATCAGGAGTTAAATCTGTATTTTTAGTATTTAATAGAAAATAACATGGTTTGGTTCAGTTACTGTTAAAATGTACAGACTGAATATTCCTTTATTTCTTTGTTGTTCTTAATGCAGGTTTATCACCAAGTGGGGCATTCAATTCCAAATACAGGTCCTATTTGCCTTTTTATTATTATTATTATTATTGTTTTGTGTGTCCATTGTGCTGTACCACTTTCTGTCAATCTATAAATCGCTCCTAACCTTACCCCTCACTACTCTATATAAAAACTGCTTGATAAAACCCTGGAAATCCTTTAATATTATCAATGGAACCAGCTGCTGCCTGTTAGGAGTTTAATCAGAGTTTCAAGTCTGGTAAGAGGGCCTCAAGTGATGAAAAGTTCGTTGTCCAGATGGTGGCACAGTTTAACTAAATGTGCAGCATTTCATTAAAGTAGGGCACAATCACAGCAAAGCAGATCATTGTGTAGAACATGTTGAGAAGTGGTGTTTGCGAGTTATATGGTTTAATTTGGGCTCGGATAGACTGAGGAATATTCAACACACCTCGTTTGTCTTGAATCTTAACAGTGAGCTCCAGGAAAGGCTCCGTCTCCCTATCCAGCCTCCGGGTTACTGTTATATCTCCACTGTCGCGGCCCACGGTGACTGGAGAGCTCTCTGATTCCGGATAAATGAGCTCGTAGGCGGCTGACTGAAACCTGGTGGGATTTAGACTCATTAGAACTGAGCCGACGCCGGCATCCTCAGAAACATTTAGGGAAAGCACGGTGCTGGACTCGAGGAGCGCCCTCGGTAATCGTCCTGTCCTCCCTGGTCCCACTAAATCAGCCTGGCGCGTCATCCATCGTTTTGGAGAAATGTGAATTAACACAGCTTTGCTGCTCAAAGGGGGCCAGCCGTGATCTCGCACGTAAATATATAATTGTATAGTAGAAAGCAGGCCCAAGATAGAGTCAACAAGCAAAACTTCCCCCGTCTTCGGAACAACATAGAAACTGCCATTTTTTGGTATGGAGGTATACGTCAACTCTGCGTTTTTCCCGCTGTCTTCATCGACAGCTTCCAGTCTGTAAACAACACTACGGAGCGCAGTGGTGTCATCTAAACTTATATGAACATTGTCTGTGCTCAGTAAGGTCGGTTCGTGGTCGTTGGTGTCCAACACGTCCACTTTCACCAAAGCAACCTGGAAAATGACAGATTCCGACGCGCAAGTCTGGCAACACAAATCGACGCTCAGCAGGTATTCTGAGCGCGTCTCTCTGTCTAAAACCCTGGAAGTTTTCAGCAACACATTTCCCCGCTTGTGGTGCGCAAAGACACGAAAATCCTCACTGCCATTTCCAAACAATTTAAAGTGCATCCCGGTCAGCGGGCACCATTTTTGCGCGTCGATGCGCTTCACTGGAATGCTGAGTCCGTTTACTTTCGAAGCCGCTGGCGAGTTCTCAAAAATATGTCCATGAAAGAAAGGCAGTCGACCCTGTTTTTGATATCCGGCTGCCGGCGTTAAAAGGCAACACAGCAAAACACCCCAAATCATGTTGGTGGCAAGTTTTGTATCTCCAAGCAGGGATGTGACTAGAAAATCCCGAAAATCAAAAGAAAAAAAGCTTCAGAAACGTTTCTTTCATAGTTATCCACTGTGTGATCCTTGCTGATCATCCTTCTGAACTTTAGGTCTTTTTATCCAGGGAGATCCCCGTCTTTTCTCCATGAAGAATATCTGCCTGCAGACGGACAGTCCAGTGCGCTGCAGGCAGTTTACCGCTCTGGTATACAGCGTTCAGCACCACAGCACCGGACAGCACCAACCACGGGGGCGTGTCGACGCACGGGGACGGAGCTCCTTGGTGAACCCCACCCTGTGTACTGGTCAAAGAGGGTCTCTCCCCCAATCCTCTGCACAGGACCTGATCCGCTGTACTCACGGCTTGCGTTTTTGCAGCTGCGTAGTACATAAGCTGGTTCTCAGCATAAAGAAGTGTTGATAGAGGGAAAAATCACTCATGCTTCCTATCCGCAGGAAGACTGCTGAGGTAAAGGGCTTTTTTTCCCCACGCAGCGCTGTGCACAACTATCAAAGTATCCAAACGCTGATTACACCACGTATCTATTAATCTGCATGAGTTGGGAATTACTGCGAATGAGTGAATTACTTGCGCACAACACGATTCTCCCATTGAAATCATGAGCTAAAGTTCCTTTAATAATACTAGGTTTTTGAAATAATTAAGCAACTTTAAATAATGTTTAATTTAAGCCTTACAGAAACCAGATAGCCTGCAATGTGTCCCTGTGAAAATGCAAGATTTGGGTCGTTAAAAGATGATGATTTAATGCAGCCTACGCTGAATGGCTCCATATGTCTTAGCAGTCAGAGTTGAAATTAACACAGCCACTCTGAAGGCTCCTCTTTTTTTCTTAAATTTGCAGAACCATACATTAACAGCTTAAAAAAAACAAAACAAAACAAAAACATCGAAAAATCAAGTGGTCTAATTCCCTCTAAGTACAAACCTTTAAACTATTTTTTTTCTCCCAGATGTGGATCCATCATTATTTTTGCTAAGGTTGGATGGATACTGAAAGGTTAGACCTGGTGTACTTAATGAAGCCTATAAGACAAAAGTAGCTATGTACTCTTATGTCAGTCTTCACTGGATCCCAAATGGATATTTTACACCTAGAATCTCCCTAGAACCATCCTGTATGGGTGATGGCCCCACATTTAAATATGACACCAAATAAAGCAAACCAAAGACAATAGAGCAAGGGTCTGCAACCTTTCATATCAAAGAGCCATTTTCCCTGGAGTCTGGCTAAGTAAAAGTCATTTAGAGCCAAAAACTATTGCATGACCTTTTAATATTAAACAACCTATTATTTTTGTCAAATGTCTGCCATTGGATATGCTTTGCCATCTTAAACAATGAACAGTTGATTGGATTTTTTATTAGCCTAAAAGAATGAAAAAGTAAACAATTAATAAAGATGAAGCATGAATTTTCTTCTATAGGGTATGATAATAATTAAAAAAACATAATTTCCAAGCTAATTAAAAGAAGAATAGCTCTACAAAAAAGTTTTTCTGATGCTTTTAATGTAATTCTGTTGTGAAAATTCAATGTATTTATTCTTTATGGTGTATTATTTAATTCTTTATATCTGTTTTAGCTACTATTAAGAGCCATTGTAATTGGTCTTAAGAGCCACATGTGGCTCTGGAGCCACATGTTGCAGACCCCTGCAATAGCAGATATGATTTAAAACCTTTTCCTCATTGAGCTAAGTGTGCATGACTTTCAATGTAGCGGAATTGACCCCACTTTTTACTAAAACTTGGTATCGACCAGTCAGTTAACCTGAGACAACTCTGTGATCTGTTGAACCTTCTTTTCTTTAATCCAATTTTATCTGCATGAAGCTACCACATGTTGGTTGGGCTAATGTTTTCCATGAGTTTTACTTGGATCAGTACTACAAGTCTACGAGTCCAAGTTTTGACCTATCTGTAGCCTACTGTATACCAAACCTTTACTGGTAATTAGGTTGGGACCATCTGATAACTGATGGACAACTAGTACTATTTCATAATCAACAATGTTATAATCATCCACATATGAGGTCTTTTTTCTGTTTCTTCTATTTATATTTTCATTCTATAAATGTTGGTAAGGCTGTAATTACAAATATTGTATATTAAAAACATTAACCAGGTCATTTTTTTTTAGCAAGTAGGGGAAACAGGCAATATTATATCAACTGTTTTGTGGATCAATACTTGCATAAGAGTGAGAGGTCATGCGATGCTTCTGTACTCATAAAAAAACATCCATATAAATAATTCATCAAAGCAGCTTTTAAAAGATCCCTATATCAATTCAAATAACCCTTCTTTCAATGCTCTTTAAGCCAAATCCAGTCTTTGCAGTAAACGGCTTTTTTAGGGAAAAAGTCTGGGAACTTGGAGACTGCAGATAATTCAGAGTCAGAGCTGGAGGCTGAAGCACAAAGCTTATATCGGTTGATCGTTATGCCCTTTCACATGACGCAAGATCATGCCTGAGTCAAGTGGACACAGAAGCCATCCTACACTCCTGGCTATTTTTGATAAAGAGGAGGTAGTTAAAGTCTTACCATCAAAATAATCAAACCGTTTATATGACATGGGGACTGTAGGTGAGAAATGACCTTATGCAAAATTGCTTCCATGTCAAGGAAAGGACCCCAAGTGATCCCTCTCCTACTCTGTAACTTCTTTGAACATCCAAGGCGCTTCATGAATGCAAATCAAATCTCATCTTTTATCATGTTGTCTCTCACGGTAAGATTCAGTGTGACTGCCAGCGCTGGAGCCCAAAAAATAATATTCAGTCCCTTGGCTGTGAGGGATAGCTAAGCTAAGGATTTGGTGCAGTTATCTGCTGAGATGAAACACTAGCGTAAACTATATGAAAATAACAGAGCTTTAATGAATGTTGAAAGAGAAAAAAATTATGAAAAAGACTCATCAACCCTTCTCTGACAGATAACTGTGCACTGCAGGGCATTAAAGGGAGAAAAACAGAGACACATACACCAAAGAAAGCAGCCAGTGAATATTAGAAGGCTAATTGCCAAACCTATCCCCTTCATTCACGATAGGGTAAAGAGTTTTTAAAGCCAAAGATTTAAACCTTTTAACATTTACATTGAAGAAAAAAATTAGAGATATACTCTCAAACTGGGTCCTTGGATGTAATTTTCGGTCTGTTAGACACTGGCTGTCTTAGAAAGGAGGCTACAATCATACAAAACCAATATGATGTAGTTTTTCATTTGGCTACACACTTACTGAAATCAGTTTTTTTCTTTTCTTTTTTTTTTTTTGCTGCAAAGCCAGTAACTAAAAAAAAAAAGAAAAAAAAAAATGAAAAAATTAAAATAAGACTGTTTTGCTGATGTCACTGAAATGTTGGACTGAGACAGACAGGTATATTAGAGAATGAAGGGGTGATTAGAATGGATGACTAAGCAGGTAAAGCTTTAAGGTTGGAATTTATATATTAACCTTTGGAACGAACATTCATGACAACCTTATACCTCACAATATTCTAAAAATGCCATTTCTGGCAACTCGGTGACACCCCACAGCAGTGGGAGTTATGTGGGCTGTAGCATTCTTGGCCCCTTAGGACATTTTACCTCCTTTAAACCTGAAGGCAGAACGCTGTTAAAGTGCTGGATAAATATAAAGACATCTCCCTCATGTATTAGGTACAGCAGCTAATTAGATTTGATCTATGATATGCTTAAGGCAGCTACCACCTAAGATTAGTGGTTGAAACGAAACCTTTTTTTAAAGAAAGTATTAAGTTTTAAGAAACAGCCAGGTTAGAAATTAAATTTTAAATCATCAGTTTGAATAGGAGTTTTCAGCACTGCATAAAGTGCCTTGGAAAAATATTAACTGATCTTGAACTTTTCACACTTTATCAAATTCGAAAACAAACTAAGATCTGTCTAAAGCTCCTTAAACCTGAAATATTCCACAGTTCACTTCATCATCTTCAAATGCAAACATGGCTCAGCTGCATACTATGCCTGTAAACTGAAATACCTGACAAAAAGTGTTAACAAGAAAAGAGCCAAGCCCTTTTTAAATCTTAATGATATGTAAAGGTCCAGAATTCAAATCTGAAAAAAAAAAAAAAAAAAAAAGATTAAGTTGTGCACTATAAAAATCTGGCAAAACAAAAGCTTTGCTGTAAGCAAGGACTGAGAAGTCCTGTTTGGAGTTGGTCAAAAGCGTTGCATGGAATAAGACAGACATCTGGAAGATTAAGCCCAGGTCAGATAGGACTAGAATTGAACATTTTGCCCCATTAGAAATGTGTGGTTCAAGTCCAACATTACACATCTGCAACGACACAACATCCACATTTTTTAGTGTTACAAATGGTATGGGATGTTTTTCTTCAGCTGAAACGGGGGAGATGGTCAGAGCTACTGGGAAAATAGGTAACAAAATACATGGCAGTTTTGAAAAAGACTGGGATGTAGACTTATCTTCTAATACAAGACACTAAACCTGTGCTAAAATGGACTTGTCTTTTGTAAAAGAAAAAAAAAAGTCCTAATATTTTTTTCTGCTCATTAGTATCTTAACATTAAAATGCAAATTCTCCATGCAGAGGTTGATGTTTCTGAATTAAAATCGTCAAATACGTTTGCCAAACGTTTCTGTCAGTGAGCCCCAGGGCAGCTGTGGCTACAATGTAGCTTGCCACCATCCATGTGTGTGTGTGTGGGTGAATGACTGAATGTAATGTAAAGCACTTTGATCAAGTCATCGGACTTACAAAAGCACTATACAGGCATTTACCATTTTACTAAAAATGGTCGGTTGAAGCAAAATTAGGAAATCACAGAAATTTTGTCGTGATTGACTAATGTCCTGCTCTTTTGATACGGTGTAATGATTCATTTTCCATGTCTTGCTGGAGATGCACTTTTATTTTGTTATCATTAAGGCCCGGGGTTGAACAACTTTATCATAAAAGGAGCCTTTTTGCTCCCTTACCAATTTAAAATTAAAACATAGAAAATATGAATTAACAGATTTTAATTGCATGCTGTTATTTGCAGAAATGAGTAGGGATTTTTATTTTTGCAAGAGCTGTTGTTAGGATTCTCTTTGAAATATGGTTCAGCCAGAGCATAACCTTGGATTCCCAAATAGAATTCAGCTTTCTTTCCGAGTTAATTATCCCATCAAGCCTAAGCCATTAGTTGGGCTGTCACTCCACCACCAGTTCAAGGCCATGAACTAATAGTATAAATTCAATCATGTGCTTTTTATGAAGTTCACAGGATTATGAGGGATGCTTCAGGGTGAAAGAAAGTATGCTAATAGAGTGAAAAATAGCAAAAGGTATCTTTTAGCAAAGCAGACTGACAGTTTACACAGTTCCAGATGCCTATTTTAAACTTGTGGTGTTCATAGTCAGCCTTTTATAGCAATCGGAAAATATGTCCACATTAATTATTTGAAAGTTTAAACCAAATTTAATTGAATGTATTACATTGAAAGTGAAAGGCACTATTACACAGCTCATGGATTTTGAGCTGACTGTATATGTGTAATCTCACCACCACTTTAGTTCCTAGGACCACTTTGAGTTCCCACAACACAAATATATATATATATATATATATATATATATATATATATATATATATATATATATATATATATATATATATATATATATGTAAGTA